AAAAAGGAAAAAATAAAAATCTCTTCATCAAGGAGGACTTTAACAGCTAACCAAGATGCTGTGTAGTCAAGGAGGACTTTAACAGCTAATGAAGACGCTGCATCGCCATCAACTTAATGTTGATGCCTCATTAATCTTCTAAATGATATTAAATTAGAAATAAAAAAATTCTATAGAAGGAAGGGCATAATCTTGGAGCATGTGATCTGCCATCACAAAGAAAACTATAGGTCCGATAGGCATCTTCCATACTACAAGGGTATCCTCGAATGACATTCATGCTTATTCAAAATATTATTATGAAGCAAGCAAAGACTAACAAGATACAAAGTCAGTTCAAATGTTTATAAAGTTAAGACAGTTTAGATATTAAGGCTCTATGACATTACCTGTTCATTGATAAGTATCAAGCTGAGCATTGGTCTGCTAAGACTCCATTGATTCGCACAATCCTCAAACAAAACAATCTCAAATAAGGTTTTCAGTATCTGCGCAAAACGTAGGTTGCCATCAAATTGAATATATAAGTTGGATTAAATTCATTTCAAACACAGAAAAGAAACTTAAGGTGAAGAATATATGAAAGATCCATCAAGCATGGACTTTTCATAAGGTCTTTGATTAATCATACACACTACAAAATTCAGGAGCGTACAATTGATAATAAGCACTACTAAATACCATATGGCATAAATTACGTTTTCCAAGGCAGCTAAAGCCATTGATTCAAAATTTGGACAGATTTCAATATGGTTAATTCACTTTTAATAAAGGAGGTAACTTTCACGATACCTAGTTACAGCAATAAAGACAATATGGCATTGAAGGTTTGTTTTTTTACATATGATCTCAAGTATCAGTCATGGACACTCATTTTCACGTCTTTATGCATTTTTGCTCTTGTTACTTCATGTTAAAAACAAATCTAAAATTCCAGTTGCCACAGTAATAGAGAACTCCTAACTAGACCTAATCATTGTCCTAATACAAGCAACTCTGCCAGCAATCAATATCCATTGCTTCAAATAAAACTCCACCACTATGTTTAACATGACTCTGTGAAAGCATATTTCAAATGCCAGAGAATTGTACATGTTGCCTCTAAATGACCATGTGAAGGACACTCTTATCCTCATCATTTCCTGCTGCGATGTTTGTAACTTTCTCTTATAATTGGACCACATATAGAGACAATGCAAATTTAGTTCAGACAAAGTGCATGTTCCTAGTTAAAGCATCTAACCACTGGGGAAGGAAATGAGCAAAGGGTTATGGTTGAGGTAAAATTGATGGGTAATGAAAGCTACTGGTGTGAGTTTGTTGGTCAAAAACACTTTCACGTAAATGTTTAATGTTTTATACTGCTGTTCATATAGACTTACACAGTCTCGACATATTTATCTGATTATCTATAAAATATTTGATTATCCATAAAATATGCTTTAAAGAAAGGGTGCAGTTGGCATACGGATGCACCCGTAGGTGTAGAGGTAAGGTGCACCTTCAAATGTTATCATGTATATAATTTTGATGTAAAATGTTCTTATGATTATCTCAAAATCTATTTTTATATCTAATTATAAAATTTTAAATTTCAAAAATGGTTAAAATCAAGTAGATCTATAAAAATATGAAAATCTTGAAAATGGACGGTGTAGATAATATGTTGTAAAACGCACTATTTCTGAGACTTAAAATCTTTTTATTTTTCATAGTCATACATTTCGATGTCGAGATGATCAATCAAAGGGTTTTTCAACATTAAAACTACCTTTTCTGATGGGATTTTGAGGGGCATCTGTAATTCTACATTATAAGGTTGCATTCTTATATAAATTTTTTCCTTAAAGAAATGAACCATGACCATTCACATGTATAAAGATGAGTAACTGTTTATATGGAGATCCGATTAAGCATCATCATCATCATCCGAGCCTTATCCTAACTATTTGGGATAGGCTACATGAAGTTCCACTATTCTGCTCTATCAAGAGCCATACCCTCAGTCTGTCAGACCACAAGTCAACATATGTCTTCTTAATACTTCCATCCGTGTCCTTTTGGGCCTTCCCCTTGCCCTTTAGGGCCTTACTTGAACCAAATCGCACCCTTACTTGAACCAAATCGCACCCTCTTAACCGGTGTTGTATTAATATGCAATTAGCAATAAGAATCATAATATCAAATAACAAGCTTTCATTGTAAAGTGTAACTCCCACAACCAATTACTCAAACACAATGATGATTACAGGCATGGCAATAATACAAAAGGCATGATCCTATGTACACTTTTTGCAGGAAGGGAAGAATTCGATGAAGTTTCTGCAAAGCCATCAACAAGTTCACCAAAGCTTACTTCAGGGAACAGATTAGGGCAGTCTGCAATATGTCTAGCAAGATTTATTGTAGTAGGTGATGAGGTTGCCTCCCCAGCTGTAATATTGTTGAAGTAGAAACCCGCCAAATTGTCCACAGCAGAGGCACACTAGCAACCAACATTCAAAAGGTGAATTAGATAGAAAAAATGTAAGGTTTAATTTACACACAGCACATGTTTGTCAAGAAACATATTATGACAGCTATAAGCAGATCCAAATGGTTAAGCATTTCATAAGTACCTGAGATGAAATATTGGAATCTAAACCCTTCAAACCGGATTCAAGTGAACCAACAATGTGCATGAAGGAGCTTGTGTCTAGATTGACAACAATAGAAATATGGTTGTGGAAAAGAGTCTCCAGGAATCCAAAGTAGGCTCTTGTAAGCTGGAACATGGAAAACCATAATATGACTCAATCATCAGAAAGGAATGGAGTCTCTCTAACCTCACATAAACAGGAATATCATTTTAAAGGTGGAACTCAAATGTCAAAAGCATACCACCAAAAACATCCTTCTCAACTTAAAGTGATAGGAAGTATGAATCAACACGAGAACACTGAAATTTACCTTGATTTCAGATAGAAACATGCAATTCAAAATGACTACGGGTTTAGTGTTTAGACAGAAAAAAACATACTAATGCTTTGACTACTTTGTTGATAGTAAAGAAACTACAACTTAATAGCTGAATGATTTTTAAAAAGCCAATTGCTGAAAATGTGTTCATTAAGTAACTAAAGGTGCTACATAAGTAATGAGCCAGAGCACCTCATGAATGTCCAACTGTGTTGCCTATATGAAACACAGTTTCATGGGTAATTATTCAAATTCCATAGGTGAATTCTGCAGAATAATTATAATTCCAGGAAAAGCTTAACAATATGGACCATGTAGGCTCCATTTGAGCACATATAACCATAGGATATGCATATTAGGCTACATGACACTTGTTTGCAAAGATAATAGTAATGTAAAGCAACATTACTACCATCTCAAAATGATTAGAGTAGACGCTTTTAAGACTGACAGTTACAAACTATAATATGTAGCATTGTTTGCAGGCATTCCTCAATGTGTCAAGTTACTTGAATCATAGAATATGCCAATGAGATTTCAGTATTATTGGTGCGATTAGGCTTCAGACACCCACCATGTTGTGCTTAGAAGCTGGTTTTTGGTGGTCTAAAGCTCAATTCAATGAGCTCTTTGAGATCCATAACCCTTACCCCTAAGCATTTTTCCTAGTTTGAGCATCGACAGCTCCAAATCATGGTCAAAACACTAGCAGAGGAATTAGAGATGAATCATAACTTTAATTAGGTCTTAAAATTTAATTAGGAATTCCCTAATCCTAGTTCAAGTTGTTCTGAGTTTAGTTAAGAGTTCCTTATAATGGTTTTGAGTCTTAGTTGTATTTCCTGCTCTTTTTTATTTCCTTAGTTGATTAGATTTCCTTAGTTGAGTTTCATCTTTGCAATTGCTTAGTCAAGATTGGACTAGAAGTCGAGCTATTATAAACGCACGCCATAGGCCATGCTTTGGTCAATAGACAAGCTTTGTGTACCTTGCCCCAACAGTAGAATTAATTAAAGAACGTTGTAGCACATCAGGAACCGTGATGCCCTAGAATTTGTTCAAAATAACAACTAGGAAACCATCAGGTCCTGGGGCTCTATCCTGATCCAGGTCAGAGATGGCGTGCATGATTTCATCTTTCAAGAAGGGTCGTACAAACCAGAGAGCCTTATCACTTGGGGCCACCAGAACGGAGAAGTCAGTCAGATGTGGGCGATGGGTGGCGTTTGCTGCAAAAGGATCTTAGAAGAGACAATGGTTGTGGCGATTTAACTGGATTCATCAAAGTTTCGTTACCCACTTTGATATGGGTAACGCGTTATTCCATGACTGCAATTTGCAATTTGTGGAAGGGAGAACCCTGAGCAAAGCATTGGGGGCTTGGAAGTCTTTCCTCTCCTCTCTCACTCTCTTCCAGAAAAACATTTGTTTCCATCGCATCTGCTTTTGGTTCGATCTATGGCTGGGTCACACCCCAATCAAGGACCGTTTCCCCTCTCTTTTCTCCCTTGTGACCAACAAGTCCTCTTCTATAGCGAACAAGATGCCAGCCCCAGGCAACATTAGAGTCTGGAACCAATCCTTCAGACGCCCTTTTTCTAATACCGAAACCACGGACTTCCTTTCCTTGTCCTCCTTGCTACAATCAAACTTCCTTGCCTGTTTTGAGCCTGACTGTTGGTGTGGACACCTTCCCCTTCTGCTTCTTTCTCGGTGGGCTCCTTCTACAAGAAACTCTTGTTATTCCCCATTTTTCCTCTTTCTCCCAGATCCATCGTTGCTCAGGTGTGGTCCTCTTTCAACGGGTGCTCCCTTGGAAATCCCGGACTGGAAGGAGTGGGTGGGATTTTTTCGAAACCACCAAAGCAACCTACTTGCCTTCTCCTCCAAGAATATCAGCCACACCAACTCCCAACTTGCTGAGTCACTAGCTCTCCTCATTGGACTTAAGCTCTTCAACCCCTCTTGGGGTCAACCACTAATCATGGAGGGAGATGCACAAAATATTATCACTTGGGCAATAGGCTCTGCGACTCCCCCTGGTATTTGGCTTCAATTTATCACAAGATTACTCACCTTTGCAGGGATATGGCCGTCTTATGGAGGCATACCTAGTGGGCATCCAACGCCTTGGCAGATCAACTGGCTAAAGATGGAGCGTCAGCCAGTACCTCGGGTCTATGAAAGACAAGCTTTTTTATTTTTTTATATATTTCATACTTGTAATGGGCGTATGAATAAGCCCACTTGGTGCTTTAGAGTGCTAGTACGTCGGTCAACACATTTTTTGTATAGGGCTGCTCCTCTGAGGTAGTCTATTCTTTTGGCAAGAGGCTCTGAACACTTAATACAACAGTTAACAGCATCAAAAAAAAAATTGCAATTTGTGGAAGAAATTGTGTTTCTATCTCCCACTTTAAGCCATTTAATTCTTGAATGCTGGTGCCGAAAGGTTTCCTCTTGTTTTAGGACAAGGTATCTAGATTTGCCCTCTTGTCCTCGTTGTTTATTCTAGAAAGTTCCTTGTTATTTATTCTCGAAAGTTCTCTATATTTTTACTGTTTCTATGGGATATAGGGCTCCCAAAAGGTAACGAAAGTGTGTTGAGATTTTTGGTGCGAGGAGCTTACCATGAATCCCCTGATTTCCGATGTTTCTGTGTAGTTCAAAAAAGGGTACCTGTTCCCAAACTAACACAAGTAGGTTAGCCAAAGCAGCTATGGAAATAGCTGTGTGCAAGATGCCTATGAAAACTCGATCAGTGAAGAATTAAATTAAGAAGAGAAGGCCACCCAGGTGGAAGACCAGCGTTTGAAAACCGACGATGTATTTCAAACGGTTTGCCTCCTTATTATTCCTAGGTGCAGCTGCTAAATCTGCACAATTCCCCCTTCATGTATGGCTACGTGATGCCATGGAGAGACCAACTGCTATTTCAGCTCTTATACATGATGTTACTAGGTTATCAATCTCATGTCATAGTGATTCCTTCTTTGCGGTGAAGTTTCTAGGTAAGTTGTGGCTCCATTGTCTTAAAGCTGCCTTGAGCAGCTACAATGTTTTCTCAAGTCTGAATCTTGCTCAGCCCTGGGTCGAGAAGCAAGACCACCAGGATAGAACTGAACTCACAAAAGTTTGCTCTTTGAACCAACAAAGGCATGGGAGCGGGTACTGGGGAATATGCCAAACCAATGACATCTTAATCATCCTAATTATAGTTTCTATCAAATCCAATTGTAGTCCCTTAAAACCCTAAACCATCTCGACTTTGGTCCTAGATCACCTACGTCCAGGAAACAGAACCACATATGATGCCACAATGTGTTAAAAAATAAACACAGGCAAGTAAGAAGAAGACACAAGAACTTATCAGAACACAAAAAAGGACATAGTACGAGGTCCGTAAACCAAATGACACTGCTGTATGATACTGAGCAGGAAACCAACATATATAGGGCAGGAAACTTACAGAGATCAAATTAAATAAGTAGATTAGCATCAAGTTCGCTAAAAATATTTAAGTTACAACTTTCTGATTTATGGTTCTGTAAGTGATAATTAAACATTGTTCAAGGAATCATTGCCCATGAACATGATGTAAAAATCGATTGAGATTAGAGGAGAGGAGATATGTTTTAAAAAACTCCAAAAATTAAATGGAAAAATGCAATAACAAAATAGAAGGGGAAAACACAAATATGTTTTTGTATAGATTCTAGTTAATATCAATCTAAGCGACAAGCGGAACCATGACAACATGGGAAAACTTGACCGAAGACATGTAAGAGTCATTGCAGGTACATAGAAAAATTGGACCACTTTAATGGCTGAATAATGTTCTATTGTGCTCATTGCCAGGAAATATGTTTCTATGAATCACATAAAAAAGCCCTTTGATCTGTAAGGGCCACTTACAAATTAACGAAAATTATATGGGTGCAGTTGGCATGTGGATGCATCCATAGTTGTAGAGGTAAGATGCACCTTCAAATTTTATCATGGTATATAATTTTCATGTAAAATGTTCTTAGGATTATCTCAAAAACTATTTTTATATCTAATTACAAAATTTTAAATTTAAAAAATGGTTAAAATTAAGTAGATCTATAAACATATGAAAATCTTGAAAATAGACGGTGTAGGTAATATGTTGTAAAATGCACTATTTCTGAGACTTAAAATCTTTTTATTTTTCATGGTCATACATCTCGATGTTGAGATGATCAATCAAAGGGTTTTTCAATATTAAAACTACCTTTTCCAATGGATTTTTGAGGTGCATTCGTAGTTCTACATTATAAGGTTGCATCCTTATATAAACTTTTTCCAAATTATATAGGGTTTCTACGTCAAGCAGAAAAAGGACATCCACAAAAGGATCCAAATCCGTAAGAAGGATGGTAGGTGATGAGTAACTCAGCATCATCATCAGCATTTTAGCCTTTTCCCAATTAATTAGAGGCGGCTACATGAATACAGGTTCTTCATTCTGCTCTATTAAAGGCCATATCCTCAGTGAGGCCATAAGTCCCCATATCTTTTCGGACTATTTCCAACCACGTCCTTTTGGGCCTGCCCCTTGCCCTTTTCAGTCTTTCCACTTGAACTAACTCGCACCTCCTAACAGGTACTGCACTTGATCGGCGCCATACATGGCCAGCCCACCTATGTCTACTCTCTCTCATTTTATTGCCTATTGGTGCCACACCTAAATTCTCTCGAATAGATTCATTTTGTATTCTATCCCTTCTTGTCTTGCCACTCATCCATCTCAACATCCTCATCGCTACACTCATTCTATGGGTATATTGTTCTGTGTCTGCCTAATATTTCGCCCTATAAAGCAAAGCTGGTCTCACCGTTGTCCTATAGAACTTGCCCTTCAGCTTCATTGGTATGTGTCGATCACATAAAATTCCAGTTGCACATCTCCACTTCGCCCACCCAGCTCTAATTTTGTGTGGAGCATCGTCCTCGATTTCTCTATTTTCTTGGATTATCGACCCAAGATATAGAAAGTGTGGTCTTTTTTGTACTTTCTAACCATCAATCTTAACTACTTCCTCGTCTCTACTCCAATTATTACTAAACTTGCACTCCTTATACTCCGTCTTAGTCCGGTTAATTTTAAAACTTTTGGATTCTAGACCATCCCTCCAAGGTTCTAACTTTGTGCTGACGTTGTTTCGGGTTTCATCAATCAAAACTATGTCATCTGCGAACAACATGCACCACAATACCTCATCATGTAGGTCCCTAGTTAAGTCGTCCAAAACTAAGACAGAGGTACGAGCTCAATGCTAACCCTTGATGTAGACCTATTGTCACTGAAAGCTCACTCGTCTCTCCACTAGTTGTTCGTACACTAGTTATCGCTCCATCGTACATATCTCTCTCACAAAGTAGGTGAGGAGTAATTGTGTTGGTCAATTTGGCAACATGTTTGGGACATTAGGACTTCATAAAAAATCTTTTATCCACAATAATCTCACTAAAATTTATTTTAGGAAGCATTTTTTATGCTCCGCATGGAGCATGGCGCAGCATGCCTTAAGGGGGATTCTCCATCCAATCAACATTACCGAATTAAAATTAGAATAGAGAAGGAGCTCCCATGTAAAGTCTAACAGTAGCAAGGAAACGGATAGTATAACATTTGCATCCACCATCTAACCTCCACTGTCAACATTGGTTGGATGGCGGACATTCTCCATGATCCTTCGCCAAAGTATGCCCCCAAGCAAGCATAATCGATTTTTCCCTTTGATTATGTTTTTGAGAATGCTAACTGTTGTATTGAGTAAGAAGATTATAAAAAAAATCGGCTACCAACAAGTTAGATGCTCGATGCCAAAACTCTTAAGGGTGCAAAAATCTATACAAGTGTTATACACAAACCATAGGCCAAAAAGGTGTAAATTAAACGATCAAACCAGGTGTGGGTTGGTTGAGACAGTTCAAGAGGCTATCGAAAGGGTCCCCTAGGGGCTGGAACTCGCACCCTCCTTAGCTAGGGCATCTGCAATGGAATTTGCCTCCCTCCAGGTGTGCCTCCAGACAAAATGTAAATCCCTACTTCTGTAAACACTCTCTTAAAAAATGTGATAGGACCTCCAAGGGCAAGGGGCCGATCTAGAGGCCCAAGTAATGGCATTCACAGCATCCACTTTGATTATCAAAGAATTGCCCCAGGATCTATCAAAGTATCCAAGCCCAAAAAGTGCGTAAAGGAGAACATGGTGTGGCTGGTACTGTCTTAGAAGATCCTCCCAATGCCTGACGGGCAGAGATTGCCCATGGAGCATCTGTCAAAGTTTAACTTAATTTGTCCACTGCCGGGGGGAGACCAAAGCGAGGCCCGAGGGACTGGAAGGGTTTAAGGAAACGAAAGGCCCCCCAATTTTGAGGGAAGTCTGTGAGTGAGAAGCGTTTAAACATTTTGTGGTTGGTCACCCAAAAAATGACCAGTGATTGCACCTTCTCCAATAGCGTATCAGTGTGGGAATACTCCCCCCTAAAGGTCCTTTGGTTCCATTCCAACCAGAGGACCCAAAGGAAAGCAGCAACAGTAGCTCCATAGGAGAATGACTAATTTAGCCCACGAGGGGACAGGCAAGAGGAAAGCAATTGGGGGACAGACTGTGGAATGGTCCAATACCACCCAAAACGATGTAGGATAGCTCCACAAAGTTCGAAGGCAAGCTCAAAATGCAGGAAGAGGTGGTTGTTGGACTCGACTTTGCTAGAGAACATGATGCACCAGTTGGGAATTTGCATACCCTCCTTTGTAGTTTGTCTACAGTCAAGACCCACTCATGGATAGCAAGCCAATTGAAGAAATGTATTCTCGAAAGGGACAAGAGAGAACCACAGTTTGCTCACTGAGGTTGGATAGGTGGATGCTACCTGGGTGGCAATAAGAAGGGTGTTGTAGAAAGAGGAGACGGAGAATACCCCTGAAGAGGTGGGGTTCCAAATAACCTTATCCAGGCCCGAAGGGGGGGCCTCCTAAAGTTCGGGGACCATACCCTCCCAAGTGCCGAGGGTTCGAAATTCTCAGCAACTGAAGATTGGGGGTTGCGAGCCAAACGGAAGAGAGAGGGAAGGTGCATTGTTAGAGGCCCTCCCGCTAGGAAGCCAAGCGTTTGGGAGGCACCTGTATTTAAGTCGCACCACCTCCTGCCATAAATGGCCACTTTGGGCTGCAAATCTTCCCTTTGATTATGTTCTGACAGACTTTTTGAAATAAAATTGTTTTGATGAAAGTTTCAATCGGTCTCAGCCGTGTTTTGACCAATCTAACTTGAATGGCTCAATGGTAAGACTCCAAAGTCAAGTTTCTGAGCATTGATATTCACATATTGCATAATTAGAAGAAATTATGAGGTTCTGAAGAACCAATAAAAAAAAAACTAAAAAATTACAAACAAATTATGACGTTCTTAAGAACCAATAAAAAAAAAAAATTACAAACTTACTTTAACTAGTTAAACTTAAACAACATTATCACACCATAAAATACATCGAAACATAATAACTAATTCAAAGTTCTTCCCAAACTTACTAAAGTTCGAGTTCTACTTTTAAGTGCTTTAGCTTAATATTTCTTAAGTTCAAATTTTCATTACTTTAACTCAATGATCGAGAGCTTGGCTCAGACTAGGGACTCGGGCCCTGATGGAGCCGAGTAACTCGGATGAGACGAGCTGGACATGCCTGAGCAGTGTATAGAACAAAAGAGCCCAAAAAAATAAAAAAATAAAAATAAAAACTGCTCAAAATAAAATAAAAATAGTAAACGATAGTAAACTAAAAACAACATTAAAAGTCCAAATAAGATGGGAAAAAATACACAAAACATGAATTTGGAAAAAGTTGATTTACAGTTGAAGGTGTTTCAGAAAAGTCCAAAAAAAATGAGGAAGATATGAAAATAGGGTATATGACAACAGACACTAACAAATCATCATCAAAATCAGTAAAATTACATAAAAGATATTTATACATCAATTTTATAATTTAATATAATTTTTATAAAAAAAAGTTGATACAACCCAGAGTTTTACCCGAGTTCTCAGGTCAGCAATGAGCCATGTCCGAGTTGACTCGGCTAAGTCCCTGAACACTGCTTTACCTACACAAAATATTTAGAAGAAATAAACCTATCTCTACTCAACAAGTCTATGATTAAAAAATGTCCTGTATATTAACATGGTCAACACATGAGAATTTTCTTTTGGCATGTTTCAAGAGAGGCCAATATATAAGCAATCTTTTAACAAAATCAGGGGAGCACCCTGAAGATATGGTTAACAATAAACATTTTTAGGTGTCGAGTCTGGTTTGTTGGATTCACAGTGGACTCATACTCTTAGTGCTCACATTGCTCCTTTATTATATATTTGTGTGTCTATGCTGTACATCTCTGCATATCTGTATGCGGAGCATGATTTGAAGCATATATTTACCAAGTAATGAATTTGGTTACCAAAAAATAAGAAATAAGTACGTCATCTCACAATCAAGCAAAATATGCTATTCTTCTCATTCAATAAAATGAGCTCACACCAACAACAAAGCTACAAGTCAGTAGTATTCTACACAACCAAATGCATAACTCCAAAGCAAATTTATTAAGAAAAAGACAAGAACGATAAATTGGTGATGCAGTGAATTTTGGAATCATAAAAAATGACAAGAGTAATCAGTTTTGCACGCAGACCAGTGAGCAACAGATAGTACCTTCCGAAATGCCAATATATCTGCTAGAGGAATGGATAATGTCATCTTAAGAGCAATATCAAGGGCATCGGCAAGTGCTCTATCACCATAGAGCTCAAAAACACCAAAGTTGACATAGTTCCCAGATAATGCTGCAATTGAAATAACATAAGTCCCATTAAACTCAACATGACCATGAAATCAAAGAAAATTGTTGAAACAAATTCACAAACTTTGAAGGGAAGGCAAATGTCAGAAGAGGAGGTAGGTGCCATGAATTATCTAACAATACAAACAAAGGTAGTGCTGGCTTTTCTTTTCAAATGGAATTGGGAAAGAGCCTACCAGGGGGAAAAGTAGGCCCTACCCTGCCACCATGTTTGGGTAAGTGCTTCACTCACATTGGATCTAAGAGGCTAGGTGTTTTGCTGACACTGGCAACTTTTTACATGAGGACAACTTTGATGGCACCTCCAAAGTCAACTTGGATTAGGATCAGGCAACCCCAGCAGGCGTGCTTAACAATGATATAGATAGTCAGATATGCAATTCCCTTAGAGAATGCAGATCTGATCAAAAGATGGACGCCACGGCTCTTCTCCGAGGGCTGAGGGTGCTTGGGAACTTTTATGTGGATTTCTAGTTATTGTGAGTACTTATTGTGATTAGGTGGGTGCAAGGTGATGTTCTCATTTTCTGTTTGGCTAGTATTGTATTTGAGATTGGGCAAGTTCTGTCTCATGCTTGTTTAAAACAAGAAAAAAAACCATAACGACTATGTTTTTATGTCAACATTTAATTTTGCCAAAATTCCAAGCAGTCCATGGTAGGTTTATTTATCAAACTGCAAAATTGTTATCTTCAAGTTCCTAAGACAGCTGAATACTAATACTCATGCAACTTTGAGGAAGGCATATCATACTGTTCTATTTTTTGGTAGGTCAATGGCCAGATTTCAGCTTCATAATGTTGTTGTTATCAACACCATAAACAACAAGCCAGGCGCCGGAATCCCAATTCAAGGGAGCAATAATAAAGTTCAAATATAGTAACAAAATCCAGATCAAAATCAAACAGATGCATGAAAATACAGTGAAAACAAAATATATGCAAGTATCGGTCAATCAATCAGCAAATTTGCAAGATGCGCATATGGGAGCAAATGCAATCACTCCAGATGATGAGGGATATTAGGTTTCAGCACCCAATTTTGTGTCCCAGAAAATACGTAACGAGTACCTGACAAATTAATAAGAATCCTTGATCTTGTGCAAATGAATGCCTATTTTCAGTCTCCAACAACAAACTATAGATTCACAGTCAACCAGGAGCAAAAGACAGTTAAAAGAACTTTTTCTTTGCGTGGGTATTAATAAAAGATTGCATTACTACAAAAATTAAGATGCATCAATTGAGGAATGAACAAATAAACTAATCTGAGCAAGCTCTAAACTAAAAGGAGGTTAATATTTGCAGTTACTTTTTGATACAGGCAATGCAAACATAAAAGATTCTATACTTATTCAGTACAATACTTCCATATATAATTCTATTGTTAATACTTCCATAAATAATCATTGATTAAAGTACTTCCATTATCCTGACATTGATTTTAAGGACATTAACATACAAAACAATGGTGATGCTTATAGTCAACTAGTGAAGAATAAAACTTGAATGACAAACTCTAGAGACATCAAAGCATACCTCTTGAAAGAATTGTCAATGAGATCCAGATACCCTTATATTTATATGCATAAATGTCATTGCCATTTGGAAGGGACAATATTCTTGAGCCGTACGCAACAATTAATTTGCTAACTTCCCGGAACAATAGAATTCCATTTGGAGATGATGAGTCAAAAGTCAAACGCTGAGCTTTATTTAAAACAAACTCCGACATAAACTTTAACAGAGGAGTTGTAACCTGTACAAATTATTGCACCAGGATCAAACCTTGTAGAACCAAGAGGAGCAACTTTCAGTTCCCAACTCATGCATTCAGGATTCTCCCTCTTTATCAGGAAAGAAAGATGCACAATTCTCTTTCCCAGAGGAAGAAAGAGACAACTGTATGGATATCAGCAGTTATACAAGAAACATTACAATATTAACATAAAGATATAAAGATAATCTGACTGTCAACCATATAACATGTATCTCATAGCTGTCACATAAAATTTATGGATGATGAACCCTTTAAAATGCCACTGGAGGAAAAGAACAAACAAGAAATGTAATAAGTATAGAAGCAAAACTTGGTTCAATAACTCGTTAAACCTTAATTGCAGTCATTGCATATTTTGTGAGCCTTAGAAGCATGTGAAGACCTTGGAGGTCGCTCGTAAAATATTCCAAGACATTTTGACATAAAGGGATGGGAGTACCAAAGAAATATCAACATGACTTTAAGAGCACCATGAGTGTTTCTGAAACAAAAGCACAGGTATTGTTCTAAAGCATCATCTTTTATTAGCTTCCATTCTAGTCAGCGAAGGCATGTCAAAATATATATCTTTCAACCTTTGTATGACATTCCATCCTCCTTTATTAAAAAAACTTCAAAAAAAGTAAGAAGTATCTTTGAAGAAATAGTATCGCTCCTCCCCGGTTCTGTATGGACAGAACCTAGGATGATTCAATGTCCAAGTTAAAATAAACGAGAGCACAAACAAGTCCATCATATGGAATAAGTCAGTATGCAGAATGCGGCATATGTGGTTCCGTTGGACAGAACTTAGGATGATTCAATGTCCAAGTTAAAATAAACAAGAGCCCAAACAAGTCCATCACATGGAATAAGTCAGTATGTTGAATGACGGATATGCATAACATGTGTTTCAGCAAAAATGCAGCTTCATCTTCATTAGGCCTTATGGTGTCTCTCAGGAAATATGACCAATCCTAATACTATTACTTTTAATAAATTCTCATAAATCTATACAATGCCATATAGAAATTATATATGTACACAAACACACATGATTTATTATGATATATAATAAACATCTATTGTTAGTAACATATTAACAGGTGCTATAGAATGCTATGAAATAAATACTAAAATGCTTAAACGAAATTATACATTTAGGGGCCGTTTGGATACCTGAAAATATATTGTCTGTGAAATATATTACGGGCGTAATACATTACCTGCAAATGGATTGTCACTGCTTGGGTAGTATTTAGATGCAACTAGGGAAATACATTGCTATTGTTTGGCTATGTATGGAAAAAATATGAGAAATGCATTACCATCCAAATATGACAAATATGACTATGTTTGGCTAATATGATTAGACTTTGGTTTCAACATGATAAGTTATAGAAATAATATGATTGGAATAACATGATTTTATTGTGATAAGCGTTATTTTTATTTAATTTTTATAAAAGTCTTTCAAATGTCTCTCTATATATAATTTCAAATAAGCAATAAATTTATGATACCAAAATCAAAATCTTTATGGTACAAGTTAAAAAATGGGAAAAAGTTTGATTAGTAAACTAGAAGGTTTGGTAATTGCAGTAGAAAATTTTGAAGCATTGGAGGAGACTAAAGAGGTATCTTATTTCAATTGAGCTTTTACTAATCTCTTATGAGGATTATGTTGTGTAAAATTTTTTATTATGATTGTGTTGTGTAATTTCTCATCGATTACCAATTATTATTTTTATTATTTTTGTTTTTATACCATACCTGATGGCGAGCTACAAATTGGGGATAGAGGGATGTAGAAATTTTTTTATTATGATTTCAGTAGAAAATTGTCCCTCATCAAGTTCTACAACTGATCAAATCAATTTAGATTTCCTCTTACTTTCACTTACCATTTATTAAAAAATTTTGTTCAAATCAATTTAGATTTTCCCTTACTTTCACTTACCAATTATTAATTTTTTTTGTTTTTATATGAGAGTCAGATGAGGGCTACAACCAAATTGGGGAGGGAGGGAGGGATGTAGAAATTTTTTATTATGATTGCAGTAGAAAATTGTCCTCGTACACCTGTTCAAATCAATTTAGATTCCCCTTTTCATATTCCCTACTTTCACTTTCTACATACCGTAATAATCATACAATATAGCGTATATTTGAGAGAGGGAAATGTTTTTTTAATCGGGGATAAGGCAGAAAGACGCACGCAAAAGATTTCCAAAGATTACCCGTCAAACTCGTTATAGATTTTTCATCCCTCACCGCACGTAATGGATTTCGTTATTTTTGGAGAAATCTCAAGTAATCTCGGGTAATCTCTTTCCATTTTCTGACTATTGAAGCGTACCCAAACAATGTAAATGTCATATTTCCTTGTAATCTATTGTAGCATAATAGATTTCCACGTACCCAAACGGCCCCTTAATAACTAAAGTAATAAAACAATAATGCCTTGAGGGGACAAGTAACAGACAGTACTCAAAAGCCAAGATGGTGAGCCAAATAGAATATCAAGGTAACTGTGCCTTCTTCACGTTTGAGAAGGAAACTACAAAAATGTTTTCCATAATTATTCAAAAAGGCATTCCTAAAGGCACCCAGCATAAACATGAATGAACCATTGAGGTTTATTTAACTCAGATTTCGAGCTGCACCTTGTTCATGGAAAAGAGGAACTTGGGAGATCCCATATCTATCAATGTCTGTCATATAGGAAGTCAACAAAAGAACTTGTGAGAGGAGCAATATCCTTGACATACTTAGAATCGACGGACTTCTGCAATTCCAGAAGCCAAAGCTCTTATTACCAGCCTAACGACTTGCTTAACAGGGTGGAACGCCAACTTGTTATGGAAGATGATTAGATCCTTTAGCCCATATAGGTTTGGATCATGACAAGTTGCTAGTGTCCAGGGCTTCCGATATGCCATTGTGACATCTCTGGTTCATCTTTTTTTATGCTTTCTAAAAAGCATTAATAAATATTTCTTACAAAAAGAGAAAAAGAATTTAAACATTCCTGACTTCAAGTCTCAACTATTTTCATGACAATTTGCAACACCAATATGATACAACTTTGCACCTACATACACAAAGGGATCTCTTTTTTCTTTCCTCTTTTACTTCATGATTTCAGACAACACTTGGTAAGTTACAAACAGGAGTCCATGAGTCCAAATCTGATGATAGCAAGCTGTCTGAAGAGTGAACTTGCACAGAACTGAATGAACTAAATTTTCAGCCACAAAATCATAGGCTGACTTCTAAAAAGAGAAACATATGCTTCTAGTTGGCGGAACTATTAAAAATAACAAGTTCATTGCATCAGCAAAAATTTTAAGAACACTACTGGCACATCTTGAGAATTTAAAGACCATATGGCATCACAGTTCGCTGTGACCATTATTTAAATAATAATTTATTCAATAATTAAAAAGCTTAAATTACATCTAGTCAAACAATTATTCTGAGAATATAAATGACAAAAATAAGGAAGACATGTGAGGCTCACTGAAAGATATATCTAGAGAGCCAAGTGGGAATTGCGTGCACAAGGTCAAAGTATATACAAATGAGATCCTCATGCTCATGATACACCACACGGAGGTTCTAAAATCAACAATCCATATCAACGTAAAATTTATACCTATAACCCATCGTAAATAGGTAAACCATAGCAGAAAGCCAGATAACATTGCCAATTGCAAGAAATAAAAATTCCGAGATGTTAAATAATGGAATGCATAGTCCTCCACAAGAACTAAATTAAGAGAAGGGAGGGGGGGGAAGAAAATTAAATTGAAAGGTCAGAGCAAAATGGATGTCAAGATGCCAACATTTCAGAAGAATAACGACGGCAGTTTATCACTCAAACAATATACACAAGGATAAAAAAACAGGTAACAACACAAAATTGTCTGATCTGGCAAAATAAAAGAACCCTGTGACTTCCAAAAGGAGCAATAACACTCGTCAATATTTTGCCTAACCTCTGGTGTGTCTGTCCAAAGTGTTATGCCCTTTAAGAGAAGCGGCATATGTGTGGGATACAACCAATCAAAGAGAAGACCATACGTTCTACGGCTGGTTCAGACAAAACACAAGCCATCAAATATGCTATTGTTAAGCTCAAAAGATAATAACTAGAATCCATTGGAAGCAAATAAAAATGATCAACATCGTGATCAACATCATATGGATAAATAACCTGTTTGTTGCCATAGCTATCCCCCTAAGATCCCGCATCAGACCTATCAGTGCGTACTTTACAGTATCCGTGCGAAACACAGTATCAGGTGTTGACTCCAAATTCAAGAAAACCTAGACAAGTGAGACAATATCACAGAGCAGTCACATTTAGTCATTGGAGGTATCTCATATGTCAGAGCACAATCAACCATGTCACGAATGAAAGCTAAATTCACAGAGATTCTGTTCAAGAAGGTCATAAATTAATACATGATAAAACAAACCGATTGCCACATCTTGTCACTCTTAAAACCTAGAATATCACAGTCACACGTATGGCACTAAATGATTACAAATTATAATCCCTATACAAATTGAATCTCTATAAGAGACATATTTCTGATCGCCAGAATGAAAATTGAAAAAAGTATAACAAACTCAGAATTGCAAACATGCATACAGACAGGTGGCACTTATGATTAGAAGCCCACCAGAAAGAAGTTTTGAATATTGTCGAGGTGTAAATTTTTGGTGTGAGAACTTCAATGAACACCACAATATTAGGCAAATGTTATTTGGCAAGAGCTATTGATATCATACACATATGCCATCATTTGTTATATGTGAAAAATACAACACTTGTTATACACGTCATGACATTTCTCTAAAATTTAAACAAAACTCTAGAAAACACATATTGTACAAATTATAAAAAATATAATGGCTTTTTTCTAAGTTGAGATAATGGAACTGAATTGCATTTTTCAGTTTTGTTAATTATACTTTATATGTATCTCACAAAATAAACTGATATCATGTATAATAATGGAGGATCATGTCCACAATGTACACTTTCTGTCAGAAAGATACATTGATAATTAAGAGAGGACCAACAAAGCTCAAGTTGAAAAGGGTACAATGAATGCTACAACCAGAAGTCGCCGACAGCTTGATACCCATAGGCGACCCACATGACCATTCATCTAATACCGCAGATCCTGCAGCACAATTACAGAAATCTGCAACAAACCATACTCGCAAATCACCTAATTGTCCACCGAGGATCCAAATTCCAACGCATTATATTTCCATAAACTGTTAAAAGGGCCCAGGCGTCTGTCTGGGAGCTGCCCTTACCCAAGGGCAGACATGCACTCAAGGGGCAAAATTGTTATGTCCCCCGACTTTTAAACAAGGGAAAGCATTCTCCTAGCCTAGTTTTCACAGAAAACTGAATGGGGGAAAAATTGTTATTTTATTTTTTTATTCAACTTTAAAGGATGTATATTATAGTTTGCTTTTAGGGCATATTTCTAGGGTTTTTAGTTTTTAAGGGATTCAAGGATTTTTATAATTTTTTTTTATTTCATAGGAACTATTCACAAATACTATTCATGAGTATTATTCATAGAGGTAAATTTGTCATTACGAAATTTAAGTTTAAGTTATGATATATAGGTCATTTCAATCATTGTATGGACATATATAGCCCTAGAACATTGAATTGTAATATATAGAGTGTGGGGGGACTTGAGAGGGTCAACTACACAGGATTTTTAAAAATTGAAAAAGAGAAACGCTTAGGCTTTTAGAACCCTAGCTTGGGGTATGGAGAAAAAACCCTAGGTTTCTTCGAATTGTGCTTGTGTTTGGCTTGTTCCTTGCTTATTTTATTGTTTTCCTCAAATTTCCCTACATCAAAAACCAACCCGAATCCAAAGAATATAAATCTTATACAAGATTTAGAAGAAACTATTATAAAGAAATCCATTTGATTCGAAGAGGAGAGCTCCCAAATTTTCATGGAACATCAATGGAGGCTAAAAGAGGAGGTTGTGATGTCCACACTCAACAGTTTGCCTCAAAGATTAACTGAACATCATATGTATGAAATTCTGCACACAACACATTCGCAGATCTACAGATCAACACTACTTGAAAAAGAAAAGATGTAAACTTCCCATAAACTTTCATGAAGCTTTGCATTATGAAGGTTTTTGAAGTGAAGTCATAGAAATCATCTTATGTAGATTCTTCACTCTAGCCTCCATACCCTTGTCCAACACAACTGGACAGAGGTAGGGGAAACACATGGACATGTCTGGATTCTCCGCTCTAAAGAATCCTAAACAAAGGATTCTTGAGGATTCTCCACTCTGAAGAATCCTGCAGAAAGGATTCTTGAGACATATGGCCATGTGGAATCTAACTCATTTGGATTCCTCTCATGATGTGCCTGAATCCTCTCCCACAAGAATCCTGTAACATAATTGTTGGGTTTATGTGGCCTTTAAAGGCCTTATGAGTGTGTAATGAAAAACATTTATTATAGTGGAACATAAACTCAGTGGGAGTGTGGTCCCTCGAGGACCATACGAAGCAAATGATGTTTGCAGATACCGGACTGTGCTTGACGATCTAGGCCAGTCGGTTGGAAAACCCAAGGTATCTGGGCATAAAATATAAACTGAGAAGGGTTTTTGGGTTAGCCCTTGATGAGGTCGGAGCGTATGCCTAGATGAGTGAGCCGAGGGACTGTGTGACCCTTGTGTGTGATGGTAGGCCTACAAAGACGGGGACCAAAACCTCATCCATGATTCATTACACTGCATGCATATCGATAGATCGTTCAGAAAAGCCAGTTATCCACCTTTTGGGTGAAGCGTATGCATGTGCGAGAGATACCCTTATGCACCAAAGAGCTATGGTCGCATTAGATCGTAATGACCTTGACTCGTCTCTAGAGGAGGCTCTGTAAACCACAGACTAGGATTGTGACCCCTTGACTCATCGGCCAGACTTTGGAGACCCGCTAGTGAGCCCTTGCTTGAACTCTGGGTCTTGAAAAACACTGGGTCGGTTCGATAAAGCAAGTGTCTCCTGTAGTCCACAGTTGAAGGTGGAGTACCCCATAATTACAGATTGAATTCTTAAAACCCTAAGGATCCTTTTCCCATCATATTAATGTAATTGTGTTCATTTTATTATTGAAATGATTTTAGTTTTATTATTTAAATTTTTATGAATCTCTCAATATTTTATTTATGATTTTTGAACTTATAAAAATGCAGTTATTGATTTTACAAAGTTATAAAAAAATTCAAATATATATTAAATTGTTTTATTTAATTTATAAAATTTCATGGGAGCCCTTAGTGCACATGGGCCCACCGTGTGGCATGTGGGTGGGGCCCACATGTGCCACATAGGGGTGGCACACCCCACCCCTTCGCATTCCTTTTGATAGCTTTGTGTTCAAGTTATTTAAATATGGAAAGTGTATCTTATGACATATGGTCAATATAGTAAATATTGACCATATCTTATCTATTTAAGATAGTAAATATTAACTTGATATATTCTTATAGAATATATGAGATGGATAATGCAATTTTATGGAATGCATGATATCTTTAATGGATTTAATTTATTTAAATATCTTGATGGAAAAATGGTTTAAAGAAAGGGGGATAATAGTTCATGCACCTTCCATAATGTTGATAGCTCATTTATGGAATGGATGACTCAGATCTCTCACCCCACAAGTCACCTTGATCAACGGTCCATATTCAATCTCAAGAAAGAGGCAAACTATGGGAAGCCCTAAAGAAACCGTAGACCTAAATTTCACTATAAATAGAGGTGCTCACCCCATCTCTACACACATCTCTCTCTCCTCCTTAGGGGCCACCCTCCTCTCTCCTCTCAAATTTTCTCTCTCTAACTCTCTCTATAAAAGTTCCATAGGGGCACGCCCCAACCCTAGGTCTAGTACTCTCTCTCTTGACCTAAAGATACTAAGCGTTTGGGAAATCAAGGTTAAAACTTTAGTTAATTTTGGGGTTAGGGTTTTGTAGAGATTTAAGAGTGGTTATCTAGTTTGGCCGAAATTAGCTTTCTCGATTCGAGATTGAAGCTAGACCGCTGATCCCGCGCCATTGGATATGGTGACTCAGTGTGCGGTGTAATAAACTCGGTTGAGGTAATCTCTGACATCTTCTCTTTTACTTACTTGCTCTCTTTTATTTTTATATTCTCAAACATAGTATTAGGTTGAATTAATGGCATCAAGTGGTTGAGTTTTATTTTATTGTTGTGCTATTTTATTTTAAAATATTTATTGATTGTAACAATACCATCTGTAAGTGATCTTTTTGCAAAACTAAAAAGGGGTTATTATTATCATTAAAAAAAAAAAAATCGTATTTCCTGGCAAAATATCACATAGGTCTTTCTTTCATTGGTATCAGAGCTGGTTTTACTTGATTGCCATTATGAGCCTTTTCTTATTTTTCTTTGCTTGAGAATAGAAAGGTATGGCTGCTCGTACTTTCATTTCAAAGATTCTGAAAGCCGAAAAGTTTGATGGGACCAACTTTGCTTCATGGAAAAGAAAAATCAAATTTGTGCTCTATGAGGAAAACTTGCATGAGGTCCTCTTTGAGGACCGACCTCGTCGTCCAATTGACGACTCATCTTAAGAAATCGAAGATGAGTACGTCAATTGGAAGAGGAGGAATCTGAGATGCAAACACATTCTTTTATTTGCCACGACTGACTCATATGCTTCTGAGTATCAGTCAATATATACTGCAAGTGAGATTTATGATAAACTTGAGAGAGAGTATGTTGAAACCTCTATTATAAAGCAAACCATGGCTATGAGGAGGTATAATGAGTCAAAGATAGTCAAAGGTACCAAGTTTGCAGATCATGTGCACGTCTTTCGCGTGCTAGTCAGAGAGCTAGAAGACAGGCATGAAACCCAATGAATCTATACAAGTGATTCATCTTATGAATTCACTTCCTAATTCAAGGGAGACTTTTACATCTTCCCTCTTTGCTAGAAGAAATTCACCAAAAGTGGAGGAGCTCATTACGACAATCAAATCCGAAAAAAAGAAGAGAAATTCAAGGCAAACTCCAAGGGATGCTGCACATATGGTAAAATCCACCCTCTTTTAAATTACGAAAGGAAAGGGAAGAAATTATTTTGGGAAGAAAAGAGATTTCAAAAGGAGAGAAATAACGGAGCAAGGAGAGACTCAAACTTGCTTTATTTGTAAGAAGGTGGGCCACATAGCCAATAGTTCTCGGTTCAACAAATCTGGATGGACCAACAAAGAATTGGC